TGACACAGGGTTCCCAAACGACCCATCACAAGTTCTGACTTCAGAGTTGTCCTTCTCCTAGACCAGTTGCTATCCAAGGCTATAGAACCAAGTCTGTTCTGCTATTTACCCATAGCTGTAGGGAGAAGAAGTGGATTCACACCTTTGCCAAGGGTATTAGTACGTAAGTGAATGTAATGGATTCGATTGTAATTCGAACTCGATTTCTCAATCCAAGTCTCTATCCATTACTCCACCGTGCCTCCATATATATATATATATATATATATATATATATATATATATATATATATATATATATCAACAAAATCCAAATCAAATGCGTGAAATTAAAAATATAAAAAAAAACACTTTACCCATCGCACCCTGTATATAATGTTGACATATAGAGGGTGTCCCTCGCCACAAAATTGACATCATTTAAAATGTGAATATCTGAGTAACTACATGTCCCAGGCTAACAAAATTAAATAGACTTCATGTTGAACAATAAAAGATTTATTTATCAAAATTCGAGCAAGATATTCAAAGGTATGAAGATTTCCTAACTGATTTCATAAAGCTTCACAAATGCTTAATATGCGCACCACCTGTGACACAAAACATGTCAAGTCGGTAGTCCAGCTCCTGCCAAACACGTTGTAGTATGACTTGCGTAACATTCTCCAATGTCTCAGTGATTCTCTGCTTAAGTTTCTCTAGGCTTGTAGGAAGAGCTGGGATATAGACCTGTTCTTTCACATATTCTCATAGAAAAAAATCAAGTCAGATGAACGTAGTACCCATTTCAACAGCATGTTGTTATTATCATTGGAACGACTTTTCCTGTTAGATTCTCATTGAAATAAGTCCGCTACTCAGCCACATAGAGAGACCTAGCAATTGAACCACGGTAGTGTGCGGTAATATACGGTGTTTTTGATTGAATATATATTGATAGTATTAGTGGTGACTATATATATATATATATATATATATATATATATATATATATAAATTTCCAAGAGGATAGAATCCAGGTAGAGCTCTATGTCCAGGACAGAGCAAGAATATACACTCCCACTAAAATTTTGTTTTTTATACCCAGAGTTATATTTTCCGATTTCATTTTGAAATTGTAGGTCTAATGAAATGGATAGTGATTACGATTCCAATGTAATAAATTATAACCATGGAATATTGGTATTTGAGCCTTTATATATATATATATATATATATATATATATATATATATATATATATATATATATAATAAATATGTTATAAAATCACTGCAAAATAGCCATTTTGTTTCAACGCTTCTGGTGTCTTATCAAGTGATTGTGTTGAATGTACATTCAACACCATCACTTGATAAGACACCAGAAGTGATTTGCATATTTTTATTTTTAAAATTGTTTTTTTTTAAGTCAAAAAGTATTTTCAAAATATTCAGGTTATTCTAAAAACAGTGTAAAACATATTTCTAAAATCGGTGCGTATTTTCTTTTTTCAAAATGATACAAATCTATTAGTATTATATGAGATGTCTCTAATTTGTTATTTTTGTATTCTTCACCTACATTGCATATGATCCATTATTGTACATATTTAAATGAGGTTACAATAAAGTTTGTATTTTATGTGAATACTACCTTGAAAATATAGTAGATTAGGGGCCCCGTATCATAGATTCAGAGGAGGGGGGGGCACAAGACCATTTCACCGACCCTGATGCCTTGTATAATCCTTTATCGGTGTCATTGTCTTTATTAATTTCCAGATTGGTATTTTTTTTTGTTCAGTTCCAGTAGTAATTTATTTTAATCATTACACCCCAAGCAAGGCGGAAATGCCATTAGTGTGCGGGGTTGAGGCGGGGGACGAGGATTACAAGGAGTTTAAGTGAGAGAAAAGGGTGGATTTTCTTTTAATCGGTATAGTCCCATGTAAGGCAATAAAGCCACTAAGAAACAAGGGGGTTAAGTGGTGTGGAAGAATTAGGAACAGAAACATTAGTAATGAGCGGGAAGAGGAAAGAGTAATCAGGAGGACAGTAGATAGTGATTGAGATTGCATTTAAATTTTTGCAGATTAAAGTTGGCTGGAAAGCATAGAGCCACAAGCGAGAAGTGTGAGAAAAGAAACTGTTAGCATAGAACTTATCGCTACATCCAGCCAGCTCAGCTGTAAATTGATGAAATATCGATATTTACTGTTATTAATTAAAAATACAATTATGGCACAAGGCCGAATAGGTGGAAAGTGGTTGAGGCTGGTCTTCACTAACTTTATACCTAGCTAATCCGATTCAAAAACCCATTCACTCGTTATAATTTGCGCATTCATCGTAAAAACTCGTCCGTCACCATTCAATCCTCCATACACCATAATACCGCATCCTCTCAGAGGGACCTAAAACGCAGCCCGAGATCTAAAATTTTCTAATGATAATAAATATTTCGTAGATAAAAATCTAATATTTGACCTTGAGAGGGTGGGATGAGATCCAAAACAAACTAAATATCAAACAAGGCAAAATATAACTGATGTTATGACCCGTCCAGCCCTCAAAAATTGATGAGATATCGACGCCAGTCTAGTACAATAATCCCAAGCTGGGGGCTTCCATTTCCGTGATATGTGGAGAGGAGTGAACTGGAGATTTATGAGTTTCCGGAGATGTTCAGCTCTTTCATTGAATGTAAAAGAAATGTTTCTGAATATGCAGGGTGTCCATAAAGTTCGGGTGCACTTTAAAAAATTTATAACTTTATTTGTATTTGCGATAGAAATAATCTGTAAAAAATGTTATAAGTTTAATGTACCTAGTTTTAAGTATAGCTAATGTGATTTCAGGCATTACTGTAAATCAGTTGGCAAATGTTTTCCGTGAACTGCAAAATCGTATTACCCTTTGTATTGCTAATGATGGAGGACATATGGAAACTTGAATAAAATTTCAATAAAACCTAAAAAAATATAGATTTACTTCTTTCTAATCCTTTTTTTTTTTTACAAATTATCTCTATCGCAAATAAAGTTATAAATTTTTTAAAGTGCACACGAACTTTATAAAATTTCAATAAAACTCTAAAAAATATAGATTTTTACTTCTTTCTAATCCTTTTTACAAATTATTTCTATTGCAAATACAAAAAGTTATAAATTTTTTAAAGTTCCCACGATCTTTATGGACACCCTGTATTTAATGACAAAAAAAAAAAAAAAAAACACGTTAAAAAAACTCCTAGGCTTACGACCAGCCTTTAAAACCTAATAAAAAGAAATTTTAACTTAGCGTTTTTCGCGCAAGAATTTCTTTAAGTTACGAGCGTTCCTTCCAAAAAACAAAACGGTAAGAAAAACTTAATTCATTGATTTTTCTCGTGAATATTAACATTTATTCTTGTTTTATTGTTCGTTGATTTTAAACATAATTCATAATTTTCACACCATAATTACAGAATTTTAAAATTATTGGGATTTTTATAAAGCAACTAGTGTATCAGGTAAATTAGGAACTCTTTTAAAATGAGGCAGTACAAATCAGTCATAATTTTATACATTTTCACGATATATATTTCGGGTTGTGCAATTAATGCAGAAATTTTAAGAAACATTTTTATTTAACGCGTTTCATATTACGAATGCGTCATAGTTAAAAACAGAATCTTTTTTTTTTTAAATAAATAGGCACTTTAGTTTATTTATTCATACGCCCAATTGAGCGGTGTGTGACACTAAATCGGGTTTAAAATGGGATAGAAGCCCACACATACATGGACTGAAGACAAAAACTACCCCTTTTAGGAACGACAGGTAACGACCGTAGTCATCTCGCGAAGAAGAGATAAGCCTGGGAGGGACGCTAACAGGGATTTGAAGTACGGAAATTTAAATATCTGGGAAGTGTTTTAAACAGAGGACGAAAAATTTAACACTGAAAAATCCGAGGCCATATTGGAATAGCCAAGGAAAAATTCTAAAAGCTTAAGCAGAATTACAAGAAATAGAAAAATTTCGCTAGAAACAGGGAAGCGAGTACTAAACTGCTATGTGATATCTGTCCCCCTGTATAACAGTGAGGGCTGGACGATGAAGAGGAGACTTGAAGCAAGAGAAATGTGTTTCTACAGAAGGATGCTGAGGATACCGTGGTCCATACATGTGAGCAATGACGAAATTTTGGAGAAAACAGAAGAAAAAAAAGGAAACTAATACTTAACATCAGGATGAGACAGTTGAGGTTTCTGGGGCGCATTATGAGGACAGAGGGTTTCGAGAATCTGATACTCACAGAATAGATAGCAGGTAAGAGGGACAAAGGAAAACAACAGTGAGTTTGACTAAATGGATACCAGAACAGGGCTTAGGAGAAACAACAGAAAGACAAAGTTTATTAAGAGCTACAAGGGACAGGAAGCTGTGGAGAGCCATGACCACGTACACTCTGAAAGGACACGGTACATAAAGAAGAACCTCTTGGTCAGTATGGAACTGATTTCAAGAGACCCTCCCCAAGGCAGCACCTATTCTATTCTATTGAAAAAAAAAAAAAGACGGTCAGGGTTAATTCTGAAGCATCACAAAAGGGAAGAGACAAGGGAGACTGAACAATTTTTGTTCCTAGTCCCATGTTCTTGTGTAACTCCCACCATAAACATGGCCTTGTGCCACATCCTGTGTGAATAGATGTACAGATAAATATGATTTCAGATTAGACCAAAAATAGAGAATGACTACAATATTTGGGCTGAAGGAGGACAATCTTCACTTTCCAGCCTTGAGAGACTTCAAAATCATTTACACGTCCATGTGGGTGATGAATTATTTCTTACTCTACAATCCCTTTCCCACAGGCAAAGTGTTACCGCAAACCAAAATCTACTCTGTTGCTATTTCCATGGTAAATGTTCAGACGTGTTACATTCCTTAGTTCACCAGTTCAGACGTTTACAACTAAGACCCACCATACAATATATAGAGGGTCGAATCATTTCCATTCACTTCATATTCCATTAGTAAGAAGGAAGTTCTTGAGAAACGGTACTTTGTAGGACAGGTAGGTAGGTAGATAGATATGAACAGAATGAGATAGATAGATAGATAGATAGATAGATAGATAGATACTCAGATGGATAGATAGAACCAAACTTATATATATAGATAGATAGATGGATATGAACAGACTGAAATAGATAGCTAAATATATAGATGAACAGACTTAGATAGATAGATAGATAGATAGATAGATAGATAGATAGATAGATAGATGAACATACTGTAAATAGATAGATAGATAGATAGATTGAGACAGATATAAACAGAATTAGATAGATAAAGAAACTGAGATAGGCAGATAAATAAATTGATAGATAGATAGATGAATATACTCAGATGGATAGATAGATAGAACCAAACTTATAGATAGATAGATAGATAGATAGATAGGTATCACACATAGATATAAATATTTAAGTAAATGCTCTGTTTTATAATAAACAGTATAAAACAACATTTAACAGCCTGAATGTCCGAGAAATTTTCATAGAAAATTTTTGTCCCCAACAGGAATCGAATCTGTATCGTATACAGAACTGTCATATAGCCTGATGTGCCTTTAACCATTTTGGCCACAGAGGAGCATTCGTTTAGCAAGGTCAATTTTACTGTCTTAAAATTTTAATCTTCCATGAATCTCTCACGTACATTCATATCTGCTCATAGCGTATCAAATGTAAACAAATGACGTCACACATTATGAAATAGACAAAGTCCGACAATTATTTTAAGATATTTTTATGCTTATACATTCTTTTTATAGATACAAATATTCAAGTAAATGCCCTGTTTTATAATAAACAGTATTAAACAACATTTACCAGCTGATGAAAATTTCTCAGACATTCAGACTGGTAAATATTGTTTAATACTGTTTATTATAAAACAGAGCATTTACTTAAATATTTGTATCTATAAAAAGAATGTATAAACATAAAAACGTCTTAAAATTGATAGGTATAACCAAACTGAGATAGAACAAATTTTAGATAGATAGATAGATAGATAGGAACAGACTGAGATAGATAGATAGATAGATAGATAGATAGATAGGAACAGACTGAGATAGATAGATAGATAGATAGATAGATAGATAGATAGATAGATAGATAGATAAAGAACAGACTGAAATAGATAGATAGATAGATAGATAGATAGATAGATAGATAGATAGATAGATAGATAGATAGATAGGAAGGAACAGACTGAAATAGATAGATAGATAGATAGATAGGAACAGACTGAGATAAATAGATAGATAGATAGATAGATAGATAGATAGGAACAGACTGAGATAGATAGATAGATAGATAGATAGATAGATAGATAGGAACAGACTGAAATAGATAGATAGCTAGATAGATAGATAACAGACATTTTCACTCAGAGACCTTCTTCCTGATATCCGGAACTTTGTGGAACAGTCTCTCAAGAATATGTTTTTCTAATCACTATAATTTTAATCTCTTCAAGTTTAGGGTTAATTGTTACCTTTCCTACATGTCCTCAGTATGAGTTCTTAATTTTTATCTCCTCTTACATTCATACAACCATATTCAGTAACCTTTTATCCTGAGTGGTTCCATCCATGGCATTCTCAGAATCCTCCTGTAGAACTACATCTCTATTGCCTCAAGTCTTTTCTTCATCTGTGAGGAGATTGTTCAGCATTTACAGCCATATAAAAGGACTGATATTACATAACAGTTCAGCAATATTTTTCTTTGTCACTAATGAAATTTTCCTGTTTCTTAATACTTTGTTTAGCTTTTGGAAAGCATTTTTTACTTTTACAATGAATATCCCGAAAATTGGCATGAATCCACTATTCCCTGCTTTCAATCCAATTACTTCATATCTTGACCATCTGGAAAGTGTCTTAAGACTACCCACATAGTTATTTATGGGAGAGTGGTATATTCGAGTGTACACTCTTCCATTATCCTACCTCTTAACCTCCATAGTGTGCATATCAAGATATTTGGTGATGGTACAGATTGCAGGGAAAAGTGGATTCAAGCCTATGGTAATGATAGTCATGTGAAATAACATGAACAGCATTAGGAATGATTCAAATAGTTGGCTAAGACTGATATGAACACAGACAAACTGCTAGATAGATAGATAGATAGATAGATAGATAGATAGATAGATAGATAGATAGATGGATGATTTACGATATATAAATTTGTATATATTAAGAACAATTTTGGAGGAAAGATTTATGACAAAGTGGAAAGGTTTTCATATGACACATTTTGCCCTTAGGACTTCATGGGACTGAATATATATATATATATATATATATATATATATATATATATATATATATTAGGTTTGTGCAAAAAATAATGATGTAATAATGTTGTTTTTTGACGTACTTTTCTCTGACATTCTTACGTCATTATTTTTGCTCCAACCTAATATATGTGTGTGTGTGTGTGTGTGTGTGTGTGTGTGTGTGTGTATTCAGGCAGCAAACCTTCTTTCATGCACATTTCATTGAATATGACAGACAAGATGCTTTTATTTAGTTTTTTATACAATTTCCTTATGCGATCTAATAATTTTTTCTTTTCGGATGATAAATTATATAAAAACTGTCCGAATGTTCTTTTTATCCGAGCACTTTCGGCTATACATTTAGCCGTTTTCAAGGATTAAATATTTTAACTGTTAAATAAGAAATAGTTTGTTGTATGTATGTTTTCTAAAATGTTTTCATTTTTCAAAACACAGTCAAGATATTGTGTCCATGTTCAAAGTTAATATTATTAAGTGTTTAACCAAATGCTAAATGTATAGCCAAAAGTGCTTGGCTAAAAAGAACATTCTGACAGTTTTTATGATTTATCATCTGAAAAGAAAAAATTATTAGATTGCATGAGAAATTGTATAAATAAAAAAAAAAGAAGCCAACTTGTCTGTCATATTCAATGAAAAAAAAAAATATATATATATATATATATATATATATTATATATATTTGTATTTATATATATTTATATATACATATATATGTATATAGGTTATAAATGAAGAATTTCTGTCTAAATACACAATATATATATATATATATATATATATATATATATATATATATATATAGGAAAAGACAATATTTATAAGGCATTTTTAAAAGCAAAAGCTAAAGTAAACAACCGGTTTTTCGTCCCAAGACTTATCAAGTTTATTTATTCTGGGAATTTAAAAAGCGTGTAAATAATTTTTATTTAATGAATGTAATCGAATGGGAAAAAAAAAAAAAAAATTATGAATTTCAAGGAGACTAGAGTCCAATAATATTCAGACCCAGCAAGCATTCCCTCTGTTTACAAAGGGAAGGCCCACGGGATCTGATATACAAGGACTCCAGGACCTTGAGGTAAAATGTGGAGTGGGACCTAGATAAAATTATAAATTGGTCACCACTAAAATTTTCCACACATTTCCTTCTATTTATTAAATGTTCAGCAATAGCAGAACCAGAACTGTTAGTCAGTTGGCTATTCCTGGAGGACGGATTCAAAATCCTGGGGGGTAAATACTGTTTTATTCTCGAATCCAAATGCTGGGACGTCCTTCCTATGTAGTTGTGTCCACAACTACACTTGTATTGGTAAATCACTGAATTAACTTGATGGGGAGGGAGAACGTCCTTATGAATGGAAGAGAAAGCAGGACGGGTAACAAATATTATTCATTCACCGAATAATAACAACTATTGATTAAACATGAAATACGTTTCGATAAACTCTAACCCTCTGTACCAATATAGGGAAGACGCAAATAAACTGGGCATTTATCAGCTAATTGCGGCTTCACCCTATAGAATTTACTGATGACGTCTTGAATAACGGAGTCTAAAACATCCAACAGATATCCGTCTTTTAATAGTGTCATTCTAACACCGTAGAGAAGACCCTCAGAACGTAACTTAAGTGCCCTGTGAATTAAGGCCTTAATCAAATTAATCTTACGTTGTCTGGGACAAAAAGAGTCCCAATGCGTATAAAGTCCCGAAAAAGTTGCCTTCCTAAATACAGAAGTCTCAAACTTGTCAGTAATCTTATGGACAAGAACATCCAAAAAGGAAAGACAAGAATTGGACTCCTTTTCTATGGTGAACTTAAGAGCAGGATGGACAGAGTTTAATTTGGTGAGAAATTTGTCGGCTTCAGACTCATTATTGAAGAGGCAGAAGGTATCATCCACATAACGATGATACATAAGAGGACGACCAATATAAGTAAATAAGGAAGCCTCGTGAAAACCAACAAAAATATTTGCCAATGCTGGACCCAAAGGCGAACCCATAGCTACCCCATTGATCTGCCGATACATAATATTATTAAAACTAAAATTATACAAAATGAGATAGAGAGAAAGAATAAGTAATAGATAGATAGATAGATAGATAGATAGATAGATAGATAGATAGAAGCAAACTCAGATAGCTGTAGAAAGCTATATAATGAAACTGAGATGAATAAATAGAACAAGTCTTGGATAGATATAAAGAACTAAGTAAACAGATAGATAGATAGATAGATAGATAGATAGATAGATAGATAGATCAGACTGTGATAGATAGATAGATAGATAGATAGATAGATAGATAGATAGATAAGACTGTGATAGATAGGTAGATAGATAGATCAGACTGTGATAGATAGCTAGATAGATAGCTAGATAGCTAGATAGATAGATAGATAGATAGATAGGTTGACTCAGAAATAGAGAGATAGATAATAAAAGAGAGACAGATATATAGACAGATAGTCAAACATTTCAATTTGTGAAGATGTGAATGTTGCTGTTTTTAACTTTGCTGCATTATCAATGATTAAGAAATATGTTTGTTAGTCCTTGAGAAATGTGGATTGAAATGAAGTATTTGATGTTGAAGAGGCAAATGAAAGCCTCAACTAATAAAGAGAAAGGAATTCCCAGTGAGAATTCCACAGTATTTTTATTCAACAATACAGGTATTTTATTTATTACTCCATGTCTTGCTTAAGGGTGCATGAAAATGACTCAGATGTTTGAGTGTGTATCCCAGGCTGGGCAAACAAGAAATAAGTTTCAAAGGAAAAAAAATGCTACTATTGTGTCAAGAATACTATATATATATATATATATATATATATCTTTTAATATATTTTCTATTTATGCATTATTTTTATAGATACAAATATTTAAGTAAATGCCCTGTTGATAATAAACAGTATTAACTACATTTACCGGAGGACACATATTTTCTATGAAATTTCTTAGCCATTCGAGCCGGTAAATGTAGTTAATACTATTTATTATAAACTGGTCATTTACTTAAATATTTATATCCATAAAAATAATCTATAAACAAAAAATATATTAAAATAATTGTCGGACTTAGTCCATTCCATAATATATATATATATATATATATATATATACACATTAATAGAAATGGACAAAGTCCAACAATTATTTTAAGACTTTTTTATGTTTATACATTCTTTTTATAGATACATTTACTTAAATATTTGTATCTATAAAAAGAATGTATAAACATAAAAATGTCTTAAAATATATATATACACACACACACACACACACATACATATATATATATATATATATATATATATATATATATATGTATATGAAATAAAAATATAGTTTTAAGATTTGCTATATTTGTGGGTTAAAGTGCTCAATATCAAGGACAGAGCATATGTAAATATAAAAGTGGACACTGAGGTCAGTACCCAATGGCAATTGTCTCTGTCATGCTTAAACACAATTGTGAATATAGATATTCACATCTATTAACATAGATAGATAGATAGATAGATAGATAGATAGATATGAAGAGACTGTGATATATAAATAGATAGATAGATAGATAGATAGATAGATAGATATGAAGAGGCTGTGATAGATAGATAGATAGATAGATATGAAGAGGCTGTGATAGATACATAGATAGATAGATATGAAGAGGCTGTGATAGATAGATAGATAGATAGATAGATAGATAGATAGATAGAATTTCCTTCCTTGCTTCATGATGTATGCAAATTTATAAGTTCCTTGTCTGAGATTGCAAGTCCTGCAATTTATGTCCCCAAAGACAAGCCATTGAATTGTTTTGGAAGAAAAGAAGAAAACTTTGTTATTTAATGCATCTTTTTAACATTTTCTACCTTTGTACCAAAATCAAAATAACAAAACAGGAAAGTGTTTTTCAAATTGGATCCAGTGCAGTGTTATATAAATTCATATGTTTTGAGGTGTGTGAAATTCTTTGCATAAAGGATCAGCCTTGATAGACATATACATGGTTTGGGTTTCTTGATAGTTTTAAGAATGTATCTATAAAGAAAAAAAATTGAATAAATGAATATTAGAAAAATTGTGTTGGGATTGTTTCGAAATCAGAACACGCACACACATATTTGTATCTATTTTCATATCTGATCATGTCTATTGAGCTATCTGTTGTGAAGTGTGACAATCAATGTCTCTTACTTGACCGATAGATAGAAGGACTACATATATAAGTCAATTGGATCATATGTAAATGATTTCATTATCACTGTACTATGTTTGCTCTTATTTATTTATCTATCAATCTAGCTATCTCAGTCTATTTCTATCTATCTATCTATCTAATCCTATTCATATCTATCTATCTATCTATCTTTGTATCTACCTATCTGTCCCAATCTGTTCAGTATCTAGCTCTGCCTGTTCATTATCTATCTATCTATCTATCTATCTATCTATCTATGTAACTGAATACAATATATAATATAATATGAAACAATGGTTTCTAAGAAAATTATAAAAATTGTGTTGTGGTTGCTTGGAAATTATTACATTATACTGTCATAAATCTACTATAATAATTTTTCATTAATCTTTTACAGGTTATTTTATGCCAGAAAATATTTAAAACTGTAAGACTTTTGAAAGATAATAGTGGTTTTACTGATTAATCCATAGCTGGGGAGAGAAGAGGTGGGTATTTGAGTGTAAGCCAATATAATAAATGTGACTGGAATTGGAACTCGCTCTCTGAACTCCAATTTCAAGCTGTTATACATTACACCACGACACATCCAACCTTACAACACCTGGTATTCCTAGGTAATCACCCATCTAGGTATGACCAGATTCAACATTGCTTAACTTTCGTGATCATATAAGAACCAATGTTTTAAAGTGGTATAACCATAAAACTAAATTTCTGAGGACACCCAACCATAGAATTATGGTGAATAATACTGTTTTATTATTACATTAGTGCAGAATTTATTGAGTGACCAACACTTACAAAAAAATTAGCAAGATGTATGTGCAGGTCTAAATAATGACAATTCATCAAATAAACAATTAATAATAATTGACAAGGCTTCATCTAAGAAATTCAGACAACTTAAGACTATTACTACTTGGTTGAAAAGCAAGAGAAATAAGATGAAAGAAATACTAGTCAAAAATGAATAGTAATTGCCAAGGCTTCATCTAAGAAATTCAGACAACTTAAGACTATTACTACTTGGTGGAAAAGCAAGAGAAATAAGATGAAAGAAATACTAGTCAAAAATGAATAATAATTGACAGGGCTTCATCTAAGAAATTCAGACAACTTAAGACTATTACTACTTGGTGGAAAAGCAAGAGAAATAAGATGAAAGAAATACTAGTCAAAAATGAATAATAATTGCCAAGGCTTCATTTAAGAAATTCAGACAACTTAAGACTATTACTACTTGGTGGGAAAGCAAGAGAAATAAGATGAAAGAAATACTAGTCAAAAATGAATAATAATTGACAGGGCTTCATCTAAGAAATTCAGACAACTTAAGACTATTACTACTTGGTGGAAAAGCAAGAGAAATAAGATGAAAGAAATACTAGTCAAAAATGAATAATAATTGCCAAGGCTTCATTTAAGAAATTCAGACAACTTAAGACTATTACTACTTGGTGGGAAAGCAAGAGAAATAAGATGAAAGAAATACTAGTCAAAAATGAATAATAATTGCCAAGGCTTCATTTAAGAAATTCAGAAAACTTAAGACTATTACTACTTGGTGGAAAACCAAGAAAAATAAGAGGAAATAAGTTCTAGTGAATTTTTTTTTTAATAACTGTCATAGTTTAGAGTAGATGAAATTTAATTCTACAATTCCACAATATGATGTCCGAGTGCTCCAAAACTGTAGCCTTGTGTCAGACTAAGTTGTTGTAGATATTTTTCTTCCTTCCCTCTTATTTTTTTTTTATACTTAATTTGTCTTATTTTTACTGTTTCTGTTCCTGATGCTTCTTTGATGGAAATGTTTTAAAATATCATGTCTATATTTTTTTTCTGTTTAAAATATTATCTGTATTAGAAAATTTATTCAGTTTAAATACTGGCTTTATTAAAAGGAGCTGAACATTTTAGATCATAGTTTTTCTTGTTATCTAGTGATTGTTGTTAGAAAGAAAAGAAAATTATGTCTTGCAGCACAAATGTTCAGTGGTGGAGTCTAATGAAGCTTAAACTTAATGGAGGTAAATAATATCATGTCATGTTGGGAATATCACTGGATAATTGGTGAGCGATAGAAGAAGTATTTTCCCCCATTATGGGCATTATTATATCCATGTTACAATAACACCTTATTGAAATGATATGAAATGGCTAAAAGGAAAATAAATGATAAATATGCTTTCTCAGAGAGAGTTCTATACTGTCATGTCATACACAAAACTATATATACATATTTATACATGTCTCATGCAGAGAAAATATAAGATGTATGCAACAACAAGTAATGTGAAAAGGTGAATGAAAAAAACCAAGTCTTACTTTTAATAATTCCAAATGGGAACTGGAGATACCAGAAATTCTTTTGTGTTTCTGGAGAAGCCATATTTAGGATTCCAGATTAATGTTGCTAGCAAGGAAATATTCCACAAATAGGAAACGGTGAGGCCTGGTTTTTTTTCTCAATATGAGGACTACAAGTCAGAGATATTTTCTATATCTGGTGAAGCTATATTTCCATTGGAAAACAGTGACATAGGCTTGTTAGCTGCACCACATTGCTGGGGAGGGTCTTGGGTTAAAATGTGACTGCTTAGTTTGACTCCTAGAATTGACTGATTGACCATTTTTATGACACGATAAAGTGACATCACTAAATGGCAGTCACATGACCCATATGACTTCATCTTGACCAAAAGGAGATAATTATCTTTTTATCCCTACAAACTTAAGCTTCAGGGCCCCTAATTCCAGAGCGTCTTCTGAAGCAACTTTTTTTAATGACTGAATTTTTCAACAAAAGTGTTTGTTATTAAAATAAGGTAATTTTACTTTGGTTTGTTTTATGGCATGTCAACCTCAATGGGTTATTTAATGCCAAAAAAATTTTATTACAGGGAATATTTTTTTTTTGAAAAATATATTGCTGGTAATATTTTTTCCTTCAAAAATCTATTACTGGTAATATTTTTTCTTCAAAAATGTATCGCTGGCAATTTTTTAAAAAAAAAACATATTACTGGTATTTTTTTTTCAAAAATGTATTGCTGGTAATAATGTATTGCTGGTAATAATTTTTTTACAAACCATTTCTGGTATTAAAACCTATTTTTACACTTTCAGAGTGTTTTGACCCCAGTTTGGGGGTTAACTATTTGCACATAGTTTTGACCCTAACAGGTACTATCACCCTGGGTCAGGGTGGACCTGGGAACACCAGTAATTAATAGATGGTTCCACACTCCTCAAAACCTCCAGATTAGAGGTCTTGCTGTTGGATGTAGTTTATTGTCTTACCCAGGATGTGGATGTAGTTTATCGTCATACCCAGGATGGGCTATTTTATTGCCAGAATCATAAGCTGATGAGTAGAAGTAGCTAATGTCGACCTTAGAATCTGCTCTAATACCCATTTCATATGGCCTCAAAATTCCCCTGTAATTGCATAAATTTCAGCATTTTCTTGGGGGCTTGCAAAACCCAAACACTTAGCTGTATGGGATGATTGAGCTTGTCAGAATCTATTCATAGACTACATTTTGGCAGTTGGATCATCGTTGCTAGTTGTGAAGCAACCCCCCCATATGTTTGAAATTTAAAAATGTACATCTGCCATTGCAGACGTCCATTTCAATTTCATTCAAATTGTCTGTGTATGTCTGTGGGTATATATATATTAATTCAACCAGACACCTAAAAAATATTGCTAGAAAATTAAAAATAAACTTTAAAAATTAATTCTGTTCATTACTGAATAATTTCTAAATAATTCAATAAAATCTTATATTTATTTAAATTTTATGATTAAAAAAATCTTTTTTTTCTTGTCTCTAATTTAATGATTTTGCTAGACCATCCAAAAATGCAATGTGTTTCTTTTAAAAGCAGTTCATGATACAAAAATGATGAATTACACATTTTAATTTGTATTTAAAAACAGAAGAGAAGGTTTATTGTTCCACTGGCTTGCATGAAAATTTTAAAGTATTACTTTAAAACAGGTGTAGTTGTTTTTAAAATAATAATTCTATTTTTTATTCTATTTACATTATTCGGACAATTGTCCTCATCTTTATCGCCATATTTATTACAACGTTTCGGCCGTTGTACACTCCAACCTTCTTCAGGTGGTTGGAATGTTGAACTGAACCCTTTATTTCGCTCACTGGGGTAGATTGTACTAGTTCCATGTGCCATGTTTTTAATGGATGTCAGTTATCAGTTATCTCCTGTTAATTCCCCTCTCCAAGTTCTCCACTGCCTTAACTGGGTATTGTACTAACACTCTTTGGGTCCTGTCACGGGATCTAACTAATGTCTTTATCCACTGTGCCATGTGTCCTTGACAAAGATGAGGACAATAGTCTGAATAATGTAAATAGTGTACATAATACCTCATCTCAAAAATATAGACAGATACTATTTTTTATTATTATACATACTTGTTTCTTCCTCGTATTTATTTCAAAATGTGTAACAGCATCAAACCAGCATGTATCTATATTTATTTACTATCAAATCACGT